CCCCAACAGATGAAAAAGAGCTCATCAAAGATGAATTTTGAGAGGCCTATTATCTAAATGATGTAACAGAGAGGAGCAAAGGGGAGCTGTCCTATCACGTCAATGTGGAGTGGTGACCATGTGGACCTTATAGGCCAGAAGGAATATCTGGCTAAGAAGGTGATGCTCAGAGATGGGAGGGTACAGGCAAGAATACAGGTGGTTCCAGCGTCCATGCATCACAACACTCATGACTCCAAAGTCTTCTTTGTATTCTCATGACCAGTGCCTGCCCCATCCCAGCATATACTCATTCTGCCTTTGGCTCACTCCATGGTGTCTTCCCTCCTCTTCATGCAGAATAAATGGAGAGCTCTGGAGAAAGTAGAGTCTGGAGTTAAGAGGCTGTTAAACTATCCAGACATCTCTAATGATAGATTATTTAAATGCTCCTCCCACTTGGAAGTGTAAACAGACCCCATCAAGACCTATAAAGATGAAACCAATCTAAGTCCAGTTAAAAGAAGAAGAAGTGGTCTTCCAATGACCACTTCCTTCCTGCCAAAGCATCCTCTAAGCAGGCCAGAGAGATGTGCATGACTGGTACCCACTAAGGATGCTATGTGATGCCTGTGTACCTTGTACAAGGCAAGTAGGGGGTGAGACCCTCCTTTCACCACACCCTGAATATGAATGTGCAGCTTTTCCCTCCCAGGGAAAGGTGCATCTCTTTCTAAAAAGGCTGTGCCTTTTTGCAGTTCCTCACCCTGAAGGAGCACCTTTCATAATCTAGGCAAGTCACTGTGCAGGCTAGCAGCTCCATGTATGCAAAGGCCTGGCTTGGTTTATCTTTTGACCTGAGTTCCCAGAGGAGCAAAGCAAGGAAAACGAAGGAGGAAACCCTCATTTGTCCCATCTAGAAGGCTGTGTAGGTGTGAGAATCCTCACCAGAACCCTGCAACTGTTCCCAACAGCCTGTGCTATTGAGAATCTGCAGGCAGAGCTTCTGTCCGTGTTCTCTTGGTAACCTGTGTCTGAAAAGTGCCAGGAGGAAGGAGAGAAAAAGCAGAGACAATTCCTTCTCTTTGTCATGGTCTGGACATAAACCTTGATCTTCAAGGTTCTCTAAGACTTGCATATACTCAGCTCAAGCTGCCTTCAAGACCTCAAAAATTTCATAGAGCTATTTTTCTGATGACAGAGGCCAGTTCCTTCTATATAAAAAAGAATAATAATCAACTCCCCAACACTGGTAGTCACCAGCTGGGTTCCATTAGGGTTTGGTCTCCAACCATCTGTACCAATGAATGAAGTTAAAATGGACCTACAGAGACTGCACAGGGCCATGGAAGAGCTGCATTCATTAGACAATATTTACTAAGCATCTTCTCAGTGTAAGGTGCTGTCGGGTCCTGGGATAAAGCATTGCACTAGTCATGGCACCTGTCCTCAACAAGCTGCCCACCCAGAGGGAGAGACAGGCAAATATTCCACTGGATACCAGTGCTGTGGCACACCACACTGTCCCATCAAAAATGTCATGTATTTTTGAGTGATTAAATAGTTGAAATATTGGATGGATGGATGGATGGATGGATGGGTGGGTGGATGGAGTAGAGTATTGTGTTATCCTGGTCTGGTGGATTAGAGAAAGTGATATGGAACCTAAATGAATAAATTCAGTTATGTCAAGTGGGGAAGAAGAGAAGAGTGTTCTGTATAAATGAATAGCATGTGCAAATGGCTTGGGGTTAGGAGAGCATTATGTTTCATCAAAACCAAGAAAACAGATGGTCAGGTTAGGCTGTGGAAGCCATAGTGGGAGTGTGTGGAAGGGATGAGAGTTGTGGGGTTTGCAGGGCTGGTTTATGAAGTAGGCGTGACTGTGTTGTAAATGACATCATACTCCACGTCCAAAATATTTAGACTCATCCAAAGAAGTGGGACTTTTAGACCAGCAGGATAGGTTGGTATTTCCAGGCACCACAAGTAGGAGAGGTTGGTATTTCCAGGCACCATGGTTAGCCAAGTGAGAATATTTCATTAATACCTTTATCTCTGTTTTCTGGTGAAAGTACACTGTCGTAGAGTTCCACGTGATTTACATGTGGATAAGTCACAGCTAGGTGGAGACACTCTGAAAATGTCCCTGTGAGTTTAGCTCAGGGTGTGGGGTAGAGAATTGGAAAAAAAGCAAAGTTCCTTAGACTCTCCATCAGTCTTGAGGAACTTCACTCTTGAAATCTTTGCCCATGGGGACCCACGATGCACAAGGGGAAGATGCTTTGAAATCAGTAGTCAAGACTGGTAACAAGGATCTGAACATCCCCAGGTAGCAAACCAGAGATACTGGAAGCTATTGCACTCACAGGCCAGGCCATTAAATATCTGCTAGTGTCATTCCCTCCAAGATTCACCTGATTCACTTGTAATACACTGGCTACCATATATGCACTATCTCTAAGATGAATGGTTCTGGAACAAAGATTCTCTGGACCAAGCCCCAGCCTACAAACTCAGGTCCAAGGTCTAGCTACCTGCCATAATGCCTTCCCATTCCTGACAGAGGTGGTGGAGAAAATAGATATATTACTCTTGAACTCCAGAAGTGGGAAAGAAAGGCATGTCATCCAAACTGCAAACTAGTCAAACGAGACATAAATAAGAGGTACTGAGTAAGAATATAATCTGTACATTATTTTTAAACAATTCTCACTCTAGAAAATTCTATGTAGGCAACCTTATTTTGAGTTCCTACCTCCAGAGCAAAGCTAGGCAGATCACCACAGTGATCTGTGATCTGTGTTGGATAGAACTTGGTAAAGCTAGACCATCACTTACCTGTGTGCAAAGCCTTCTGGGAGAATCCATGAAGGGAGCCCCACCCTCTCACCCTCCTGGCTCCAGTTATTGACATCCTAAGTTATTGAAGTTATTCCTCTCATTCTCACAGTTACAGTGACTCTGTACCTCACCCTCATGGCAGAAATGGTTACTTAAGAAAGTCCGGGGGCCCCCTCCTTTAGGCTCAATGAGCATGGAATACAGTAGGGAAAAAGGAGGCTTTTGATGCTGATGCTCTCCCTGATATGTGTAGGGCCAGGGCCAGACTATAGAAGAAGGTCTGTACTGTCTTGGATGTCTAAACTTTCATAAACCACATCAGAAAACTTAAATAAAATATGTCCTCCTGTCCTGACAAACATATCTTCAGAGTGATCTGAAATTCAGAATTCAGCATCTTGCACCCTCTGAGCACTAGAACATAACCTGGAAGTGTGGGAAGAACCTACCCCAAGGTCTGGGCTCTCCCCTTTAGCTTCTCACCTCTGCACCAACCAGCACCATGATGGGCCTGGCATGCGTGCACGTGGACACCTTGGTCTGATCATCTAAGTTCTATCCAAATGTCCCAGTTGAAGTATGGTCTGTTCACGGGAAAATACGTCTTTGGATGACACATATGAAGATCTTGGAAGGGCACTCAGGGACCATTTAAACAGAAAATTCTGGGATCCCAAGGAGGCCGAGAGTGATTTGGGGAGGTGTGGTTTCAAGGGGTGCCCTCTTGACCCCACAGATTTCTCACCCCCATAAAGATGGTTGCTAGAAAAGGCCCAGGGAAGAGGCCCTTCTTGCCCATAGCTGAGCAAGATACTATTGTCAGGAGCCATCACTGTGTCCTCCCAGCTGTGGTCCCGTGTGAACATTTAAGGAAAACCGTCAACTGCCTTCCCAAGTGCTGGTTCTCCACCACCTCCTTACTCCTTCATCTGTCCTAGATCAGCCCCAGACAGGATTCCAGGGAGTCTCTCTTCATTCCCAGTCCCCCCCAATGACAAATCTCCAAGCCCTCTCCAAAGCCCCCAGTTGCAAGCCCACCTCATCCCATGTGTCCCCCAGAATTGCACACCTAGTCCCATGCAGCACTACGGCCCCATTTGCACAGGCAGCGAGGGTGTCCAGATCCAACCTGGGCTGAAGGGATTAATTAGGTTGACTAGATCAGGTGCCCGAGTGAAAAACAGACAGAATGGATGTCCCTCCTGTCCAGAGCATTCAGGGACGAGTGTGAGGCTGTGCAGAAAGGTGTGTGTTTTTACTTGTCATTTGCGACTCTCTGATGATGGACTCACGTTGCCCGCTCTTCCCTTTCTCTTACACCTTACCTACTAAAGGAGGAGTTCTTGCTTGGTAAGTGGATATAATCCGCAAAGACACGAGAGAATTTATTAGAAGTCATTCAAGATCCTTAGCTACCTTCTACAAGGGGAAAAGGACACACACGAATACCTGTAGAGACCTTTTTTTGTTTGTTTGTGTTCAGTCAGACTATTTGACTTACATTTATTTTGTCCCTCTCCTTTCTTTTCCCCTTTAGTTAAAACTGCTCAAATGTCAGTTTGCGACCTTGACTTTACATTTTTTTTTTTAAAAAAGAACGCTCATCCTTATATTTCATTTCTTTTCCCCATGTGACATTTGTTCAGGGTTCTATTCAGGCAACTTTTTCTTTAAAACAAGAAAAGTTACATTAATTGAGGATTTGGTTGAAGTTTTAAATTTTTGGCTTTTTCTTTCTTTTTTTAATTTCCAAGGTATATATTTGAGGCCCATAGTCCCATTTCTTTTTCCCCTTCTCCTTCCTTTATTTTTATTATTGTTTTAGGTTAAGGGTGTCTACACCCCCTTTCTATTAAGTTGTCTCTTTTGTTTGAGTTGATTCATTAGAAATTAAATTTTGTATAATTTCTTTTTATTTTTGTTTAATCAGATCGCATGCTTTTTCTCTGCATGATACTTAAATCTTCCAGTTATCCTATTAGGGGGTAAAAAATATATATATCTCCTATTTCTGTGGTATTCTTTCAGGAATTTGTGCTTTTGTTTTTTGGCGTCTCTTCTTTCTTCTCCTCTCTCTCTCTTTGCTTTCGTTACAGTGCATCATGACGGTTAACATTCTTGGTTATTTAAACACAGCCCAGAGCTCAGCAATGTCCAACGGGTCTTTTTGCTTTCAGATCACTGGGTCTGGGTCTACCGCTGACCTCTTTAGCAAAACAGCCAGCCCGCTCACCAACTCCCGAGGACGCTCCCAGGAGTACGACTCAGGCAATGACACGTCCTCACCACCCTCCACACAAACCAGCTCAGCAAGGTCTCTGGGCCAGGAGAAGGGGAGCCCCGGCGGGGGCCTAAGCAAGAGCCGGGACCTCAACAGTGGCAACACCTCTGATTCAGGGAACTCCTTCACCACCTCTTCACCCCAGAACAAAGGGGCTGTTTTGGAGAACCTCTCTCCCACCAGCAGGGGCAGAGAATCAAGGTACCCACCTTAGTGTCACCTTCTTTCTTCCCAGGAATTCTTTTATTTGTAAAAGAGAAAACAACATTAATAAAAAAAGCTTCCATGGAAAGACCTCAAACACGTATTACTAAGCCTGAAAAGGCTACAACTGCATAGAGTTGCATGTAGCTACAACTCTATGATATTCCAGAAAAGGCAAAACTATGACAAAAGTATAAAGATCAATGGTTGCTGGGGCCAGGAGGAGAGGGAGGGATGAAAAGGCAGAGCACAGAAGATTTAAGACAGTGAAAGTGTTCTGTGTGACACAACAATGATGGGTACGTGTCATTATACAGAGGCCCAAATCCATACAATGTACCACACCAAGAGTGAACCCTAATGGAAACTGTGGACCTTGGGGAAAACAATGTGAGTTTATCAATCCTAGTAAATGTACCAGTCTCGTGGTGGGCACTGATTGGGTGGAATGACCCCATGCATATGTGGAGGCCAGAGGCATAAGAGAATTAATTCCTATGCTTTTCACTCAATTATACTATAAAACTAACTCTGCTCTAAAAATAAAGCCTATTAATTTAAAAACACACATACATGGATAGATAGTACATTACAGTACCATTTTAGGTGAAGGGTTTTTGTTTATCTCCACATATTTGCTAGATACAGTTGTCCTGCGGAAAATACTTGCACACAATTGCTTATATAACCCAGTTGTAATTCCACAATTTCATTATCCCCTACTCTTTTTCTCAAGAAATCAGCAAAATGCTAGTCACTGAGACTACTGTGAAAAGAACAGCTACTCAAATTTACTGACCACTTAGTCTGCACCATTCATTTGACTTGTTACCAGGTGCCTCCTCAATGCCAGACACTAGGCTTGATGCTGGGGATATAAAAATAGCATGGTCCCCAAGAGTTTATAATTCATAGGGCAGATGCATAGATACGGGAGAGGTGGAAGAGACTTGCTGGCAAACAGGACCCTGCAAACAGTGGGGTTTTCCTCTTGCTGGGGATGGGAGGCGGTCTTTGTTCAAAGTGACCAAGGTTTCCAGAAGACGGTCACAGCCTTAGCAACTGAAGCAGTGAACAGCTACCACAAGGACAGAGCACCCTTTGTCCCCAACACATAGCTCGCTTCAGTCCTGGATAAACAGCTTGGCCTCTAATGAGACCTGGCCCCTGGTTTGCCTGCTCCGGGATGTCCCTAGCCTCAGCTCACACTCAAGCTTTGCCGGGAGCCAGAGCAGGTCAGAGTGAGTGTCAACATCTTCAAGAACAGGCAGTGAAGTCCCCATATGGGAGAGGGAAGCCACTTGTCTACTGATCCACTGCAGTGCTATCATGCAGGCAGGACAGAGAAAAGCAATAACAACAACAGTAAAAATAATGGCGGTTAATATCCATTGAGCCCAAACCACCTGCCAGGTACTATGCAAAACACTTTCCAGAGTTGCACTTAGAACATTAATGGGATAGGTGCTGTTATAACCTTTTCTTTAAAACTGATAGGCAAACTGAGGCTCACAGTAGTTGAAAAACTCAGTTAATAAGACACAGCATCAGTATCCAAATACAGGTCTGTATCCAGAACTGGATAAAAGGCCTAGAGATATCTAGCAATTACCTGTTTAATTTGATCTACCTGGACAGCCCAATTAAATAATTTAGAAGCAGAATTTCATTTCTAAATGTGATAGTTAAATCCATGGGTATTTATGTCATGCCAGCTGAGGGGAGATGGAACAATAAATTAGGGCTGAGTGAAGCAGACACCAGCTTTAAACTAAGGGAATCACAGACATTAAAGGTAGAGAGCTAGAGAGGTGGCAGGAACAGGGGCTTTGGAGCTGAACAGATCAGAGCTTGGAACTCTGGGTGGCCTTTCGCAAGTAACATGCCCTTCTGAGCCTTTTCTGTAAATTGGGCAGACTAAGGACAAGCTTCAGAAGGAGGACTAAATGAAGTGATGTTTGTGAAGTGCCCAGGATGCTGAAGACATTCAAGATCTTCATTCTGTAACTGCATTGACACCTGATACCGGTTCCAAGCCAGGCACTCGGGATTGGATACGGTATTCAGAGTGCCTGTACCCCATGAGCTCAATCAATGCCTGGGGCAGAAGGGGACACCTACAGTTAGAAGCTAAGTGAGCCATTTACAGATGGGGAATCCTTCAGGAAGTAGAGTCTGTGGTAACACCTGGAGATTGCCCAGCCCAGACCGGGATAGGAAGTTGTCCAGGAAAGCTTTCCAGAAAAAGGTAGCTTCAGAGTAAGCCAGAACCATGAGTAGAAGTTGCCAGTAAAGTACAGAAGAGGGTTGTAAATACCACACTGTTCTAAGACCTGGAGACAAGGGAGCAAAGAGGGATATTCCAGGAGGAATGAGGAGTCTGTTAATGCTTGGAGCCAAGAGAGGACACTGTCGAGAGCCAAGATTAGAAGGTGAGCAGGATCTGGGTCGCGGTGAGCTGTGAAGACCATATTAAGGTGACTTGAGGTTGACTCTTCTCTAATCTGAATGAACATGCCTGCATGGAGAACCCAAAAGGAGTCCAGTATGGCCCGAGACAGGATGAGAACACAGGAGAAAAAGCATGCTCTTTGTGTGATTCTGAACAAGCTTCCATACACCTTTTTCTTCTCTCTTTTTTTTTTTTGGGGGTGGGGAGCGAGGGTCTTAATTCCTCCATCTGCAAAATGAGCTACACCAAAGACCCCCAAACTTAAACCAGCCACAAATCACCTTTGTTGATTTTTACTATGTCCATGAGCTAATTTATTTACTTTAGTAAACTCACTTTTCTGTAAGGAAACTTAGACTACTAACTGAAACATAAAGTTACCATCACAGGTCCTGAGTAGAAGGCACTTGTAAAAATACATACGATTCAAGCAATATTTAGTTATGGTTCATTAACTTTTCCTACCCAATGCTCTGAGCCTGAGGCCTGCTCCCCTCTCTTTGGGAGATTACAAAGTGTGACAGAGGTGTTAAAAGCCCAGTAGCATCCAGCCAAGAATTTCTCATTAGTGTAATCAAAGGGACCATCCCACAAAGACAAGGAGGGGAATGAATCTCTCACCATGTGGCCTATGTTATTTAGCATCATGCCTACAATGACCTTGTGAAGTGCTTCCTGGGGCACACGTCCCATACCAGGGATGCTGAACTAAACCATCATCCATCTACCTGTAGGATCTCTTCTATCTCTGCTCCTCTAACAGATGTTCCCTGGCAAGACTTTCCAGGATGCAAAAACTTGGGAGGAGGGTTTGGGGAGAACACCACCATCTAGGCCAAGGTGGGGAGAGGGGTGTCAGGTGAGGAGCGGGCAGTTGAGTGGTGACAGGCACTCTTCTTCCTGCAGAGGATTTCAGTCACCATGTCTGGAGTGTGCTGAGGTGAAGAAGTCTACTTTGGTCCCATCCACAGCCCGGAGCTCCCCCATGAAAGAGTGCTCCCGCAGCCCCTCCTATGCTAGCACCCGATCCTCCAGCCACTCCTCCCGATCCCCAAACCCCAGGGCCTCCCCCAGGTACACCCGGAGCCGGTCCACTTCCTCTGAAAAAAGGTGAGTTTGGCTTTTGACCTTTGCTCTGCTGTATTTCCCTCCTTAGCGGTGAGTTAAGGTAACTGGAGGTGCCCACCCACCCATGGGGAAGAGGAATCAGACTTGACTTGAATATCCAGTCTAGCCATTACTAGCTTATGGGAAAGTTAATTAGCCTTCTGGAGCCTCAGTTTTGTCATAATCCAATGGTTAGATGAATGGCTGTGATTACTATAAAACATTTGTAGAGTTACTTGGAGCATCCTCAGAACAAAAGTGTTTAATTAGTTCCTGGCTCTGTGTATCAGTCATTTGGGCTGGGCTCAGCAGGCTGGTTCTTCACTCTTGTTGGGCTCTCTTGTGTGTCTGTGGTCAGATGGAGAGTGGACTGGGATCTGGCTGGATTGAATGACCCCAGATTAGTCATCTCTGCTCTGAACCGTCACCTGGAAGCCTGTCTGTTTGTTCACATAGTGATGACAGCATTCTGAGAGAGCAGTCGTGTGCAAGGCTTCTTTAGTCCTGGGCTTATAAGAGACATGCCAACCTTTCTGCTATGCTATGAGCCGCAGCAAGTCACACAACTAATCCAGACGCAAGGATGCTCTCGTTAGTGGGAGGAACTGCAAATTGGTAATTGCTTGATTATCTCAGGTGGAATAATGATGTCATGGAACATGAACAAGATCTCAGGAACTGGAATATTCCTTCCACTCTTACCAACCCATGATTTCATAGAGTTCAGCTTTCCTCTGCAAACAAAAATTCCCAACAGAAGGCTGACTACTCTTCTGCAACCATACAATTAAAACACATTTGCTTACTTAGTTGGTTATTTCAAGACCAGCCAATTCTACAAAAAGGAGGCAAGACTGCTGACTTCATTCCACATGATGCAGTAACATTAGTGGAAGAGCAGATTAGGCTAACAGGAAAATTAAGGAGAAAATATATGTTTAGTTAAGAGAAAGATTAAGGCTGAAAAGGTGTGTTGTATAATTGTAGGTAGTTGCTCGCAGTGGACCTCAAATATGACTTCTGAACTCCCTGGCAGATGAAGCAAAGACAGAAATCACTCCATTCATTGTTACATTCTTAGAAGGAAGAAGAAGAAGAAGAAGAAGAAGAAGAAGAAGAAGAAGAAGAAGAAGAAGAAGAAAGAGGAGGAAGAATTGAATCCATTGCTTGGAAAAGCAGCTACTACTGATTTTAAGGTCCATGAAAGATGCCTCATGGGACTCCACAGAAAAGGACACTGTATGGTGTAGTGGATGGAATGCTGGACAATACGCTTCCCAGTTGTATACAAACATGCTCCTTCTTGACTCTTATAATATTTCTCAGTGCACAAAGAGCAACTTGGCAAAACATTACTTTTATGGGGGCCACAGTTGGACATAGGTCCAGGGCCCTGGGACTGGATAAGCTATTCCTTCCTATAATGTTCCTAATTATCAGAGATGGTAGAAGATGAAAGTAGCAAAGGAATCAGTAATTTGAATGCATCCCCCCACCCTTATTCCAAAGGGGATACATTCCAAAACCCTACAGATGTACCAAACCCTATAATAATGGGCCTTTTCCATCTCAAGTAAGCACCTGTTGTGCACTGTGGTAGGAACTTTTGCAGTCTGAGGTGTGACAGAAAAACTAGCTTTCTCCTTCTTCACAGTTTCACAGAGAGATTTGTTCTTACTGTAAATCTCAGCAACTTCAATTTTCATGTTAAGTGAAGAATGCTCACTTTCACATTAAAGGAAGCACTTTCTGCTTCTCTTTGGCATATCTGAATTACTGGCAACACTACCTTCCCTTTGAGTGATGGCATTATTAAGTCAGTGATGGCCACCTGTGCACAGCACTGTAATACTTTGATAGTGGATCTGATAACAAAAAGGCTAAGTGACTAACAGGCAGGCAGCATATACAGTGTGTATACCCTGGACAAAGGGATGACTGACACCCTGGGTAGGATGGAGCAAGACAGCAAGAAGTCGTATCCTGCTGCTCAGAATGGCACACAACTTAAAATCTTATGAGTTGTTTACTTCTAGGATTTTCCACTTAATGTTTCCAGACCACGGCTGGCCTCTGGTAACCGAATACATAGAAAGCAAAACCATGGATAAGGGAAGAGACTACTGTAGTCTACAGAAGTCAAGAGTACTTTGGAGCAAACACACCTGGATTCATGTCCCCTATCGGCTGTGTGACCCTGGGTAAATTACATTCTCTGTGCCTTTGATTCCCCAACTATCAAATGGGGTTGACAATAGTACATAATGCTAGGATGTGTTGAGGGTTAAATGAAATGCTAACATTTCATAGTTAACATTTCCCAGGCACTGGCTAAATTAGCATATGTGCTAATTTACACATTTGATGTACAACTTTACAGGGTAAGTACTATTATTACTCCCATTTTACAGATAAGAAAACAGAAACCCAGAGATGTGGAATGACATGCCCAAAGTCACACAGCTAATAAGCAGCCAGGCTAATGAGCACGCAATAGGAGGACGCGGTCCATGCTATCATAAACCACCCAAAGGGGAGGGGATTTCTCTGGTAAGGGCCTGGTTCCATCACCAGGCTTCTAGAAAGAAAAGGGTCGCCACCTGGAGACCAGGCGAATAAAATGTTAGCTGTCATACAACCTCAGCGCGCATGTTCAGCAGGCTTTTTAGGGGCTGTTACCTCTCCCCCAGGTCCTACTCCCGCTCGCCCAGCTATTCCTCCAAGTCTGGCAAGAGGAGCCCACCCAGCAGAAGCTCTCGATCCCGACGCAGCCCCAGCTACTCCCGCTACAGCCCCAACAGGTATCGGGCCCGCCCCCAGGCCAGACCCTGCCCCGGGCCCGACCCCGGGCAGAACCCCGCCCCCAGGCCGGACCCCGCCCCCGGGCCGGGCCCCGCCCCGGCCACACCCCTTTGCTCTGACCCCGCCTCTCTGAGCCTGTCTCCCAAGCCCTACCCTATTCCTCTTTCCAGCTCTGCAGAAGTAGAGATGGGGAGCTGTTCTTGGATTTTTCTTTGCCCAGTCAGGAATAGCAGCAATTCCCAAATATAGCCCTGCGTCCTAATGTCCCTACCCCAAACATTCCCACAGCCACACTCCCGAATTCATATCCTAGTCTTTAGCCTCCTCACCCACTTACTACTACCCCTCCTGCCTGTCTTCTGCATCCCTAATTCTTACCCACACCAGGGCCCTGTGATAGTCACCCCTTCACCTCTGCAGCGTTTGCACCCTTGTAATGCAGCCCGCGAAGTCTGCCTCCCCTGCACACTCCTGGCTCCCACGCAGGCTCTTCCTACAACTGGGTCATCTTCCCTTCCCTGGGGCCCCTGCAGATCCCAGCTCCCCAGTAATCCCCTGCCCCCCTTCAGGGAACGGGACCCCAAGTACAGTGAAAAGGACTCGCAGCCGCGGGAGCGCGAGCGAGCACGGCGGAGGCGTCGGTCCTACTCGCCCATGAGGAAGCGCCGGAGAGACTCCCCGAGCCACCTGGAGGCCCGCAGGATAACAAGGTGAGGCCAGGAAAGCAGGGTACCCACCTTCACCCTCGCTCCCACCCCCAATCCCTCTTGCTTCCTTGGGGCTGGGACTTCTGGATTGTGGGAGATAAGGGACACTCCTCCTGACCACTGAAATAAGGTTTTGTTTCAAGACCTGGGAGCCTACTAGGGCAGGAACGTGGGGGGAGTGCCTAGGAATGTGTGGGAGGGGCTGCTGGTAAGGGGTGGAGCCAACTTAAATAGGGTGTGGCCTAAGGGAGGTTTTTTTGTAGAGGGACCCTGGGGACCTAGCTGGGATCAGTGAGGCAGGCAGGGAAAGGAGGTGGACTGGTCAGAGAATGGGCGCCCAGGCCACAGGGCAGGACGTTGGCCTGGTGGGGGAGCACCAGCGATAGTGTAGACAGACCTTCACCCTGAACCTGCACACTCAGATGCCAGGTTTAAACAAACCTGTATGTGATTACACCCTAAACCAAGTGCAGAGAGTGTGAACGGGACTGCTTAGGGCCTAAGGAACTCAGGAAGGCGTGGTGGCTGAATTTGGACTTGAGTCCTGGCTTGGCCACTTTCTAGGCTTTGCCTCCCTGAGCCTGTTTTCTCACGCATGAAATACTGGAAGAAATAAATCTTAGGAGTATCATAAAGATGAAGTGAAAGGAGGCAAAACGATGTGAAGGTACTTTGTAAACTGAAATGCAGAGAACACTGTGTGCCATTGTTACTGACACAGATAGATAAGGTTACTTGTCACAGGTGAGGTCTCAGCAAAAGAAAAGCTGTGACACAGAGGGCTATGGACTGAGCAGAAAGGAATTTCTCAGGTTTTAAAGCTGGGAGAATGACTGGTGCTGTCCTAAAATTGTGTTGGCAACAACCACTTCATCCAGGGACCCACAGGGGAGCAGAGATCCTGGAGGTCCAGGGAACCCTCCCTGGAGTCCCCTTCCCAACCTCCAGTCATCCATCAGCCATTGTCACCTCCTCTGCTTATTAAATGTACCATTGTTGGTATAATTTTCTTTAAGTGGATATACCCTTTGCAAAGTCCCCTGCATTTATTTCCAAAAGAAATTTGATACACTACTGTAAATGGAAAACCAGCCCCTCTCGCCTAGAAATAGAAGCTACTAGAAATAGAAGGTTCTAGTAAAAGTAAAAATAGCAAAACAAAACTGCGATTAAAGTTTAGATGTAGCTTCTGTTGCCAGCTGGAGGCGCTGAGCCCCAGGCTTGCTTTGTTAAAATTAAAAGGAGGGTGGAGAGCGAAATTATCACTTTTCAAGACATCCCGCACTAAGCTGAGACTCTGGTGTTCTTAGGACTGCAAGAGAAGTGAAAAGGATTTTTGTTGCTGTTTTTGTTTTGTCGCTTTGTCCCCTTAAGGGACTGGGAGATGAAAGGACATTCTTTCCCTGGGTGGAGGCTGGGGTAGGTCTAGCCCTCATGCATCCTCATCTGGTCCCTGCAGTGCCCGGAAACGCCCGATCCCCTATTACCGACCCAGCCCGTCTTCGTCCAGCAGCCTCAGCAGCGCCTCCTCCTGGTACAGCAGCAGCAGCAGCCGCTCGGCCAGCCGCAGCTACTCGCGGAGCCGGAGCCCCAGCCGGAGCCGGAGCCCCAGCCGGAGCCGGAGCAGGACCCGCACTAGCAGCAGCTCCAGCTCCCGTAGCCCCAGTCTGGGCTCCCGGAGCCGCAGCCGGAGCCACAGCCGGAGCTACAGCTCGGCAGACAGCTATTCCAGCACGAGGCGCTAAGCAAGGGTCCTCCCTTGAGGCCAGCTGCTCGTGGGGACCCCTTTTGCTCTGCCAGCTTCCCCTACTACCTGCCTTCCCTTGCCTTCTCCCTGGTGACAGATATCGAGGGCTCTGGGGCCCTGAGCTCCCTACTTTCCTGGGGAGGAGGAAAGAGTGTTACAGGGGCCTGAATCCCTAGGTCAAGCTACTAGGAGCCTCGACCAGCACCATCGTGAGGCTCACTTCAGGCTTGGGCAAATGGAGTGCACCATACTCTTTTAGCACAAAAACAACAACAACAAAACAAAACAAAAAAAACCCTCAAGGTTTCGTGGGAAGCAGTGGGTCTCTGACTGAAAGTTTGAGCCTGGTCAGGAACATGTGGAAGTAGCTCTGCTCACCCACTGCTCACAGGATATATAGTGAAGGTCAAGGGTAATTCATGCCACCTGCCCTCATTCTCCATTCAATCTCATGCTAGGAAGAAATGACACAAGAGACCAAAGCAACCGAGGCCCAAGATAAAGTATCAGAGATTAAACCTCCCGAAATAGGCCAAGCAAAGTCTGGAAGGCTCTTGGGTCCTGGAAAAGAGAATGTGGACATTGGAGTTGGTGGTAGGTGTCAGGTGACTAGAGATGGGTTCTGTAGTTACAAGTGTGAATCAAAAAGACAGGAGTCCTCTGCTCTCTCAGTCAGAGGCAGGAACCCAACAGGTTCCAGCTATCTGAAGGTCCCCAAGGGCTGAAACAAAATGCCTCCTGGCTGTGCACAGGGGCCCTACAACACCACAGGGAAGGAGACAGTGCAACAGCCAGGGCAGCTTAGGCCACAACCCCACTTCCCAAATTTTCCCCAGCCCCAATGGCTGGCACCACCTTCATTCCACAGGACCATCTGCTGAGCATTCCCCATGCCAGGGCCAGTGGCCAGCCCCCAGCGCCAGCCAGTCTGGCCTTGCCCTGCAGTTGGCTCCTGCCTGTCCTCTCCCCACTACCCAGACTGCCACACCCTGGATCCTACCCAGGGCATCCTGGCACCCACCCTCCCACCCTTCAGCCTAAGCCACTCTCCTTGCCTCTCAGGAATTTTGCCAGGATGAGGCAAAGCAGGTCAGGTTTTGGGGGGCAGGGGTGGTCCAAATCCAGAGAGTATAAGCGGGCTTGCCTGGGTTTCCTGCTAGCTTCTGAGATTTCTTGTCAGTTTGGGAAAGCCCCTCCTTTATTTCTGCCCTCACCCTGTTGTCCCCTCTGCCCAGGGCTATGCATCAAGGGTAAGCTGCCCTCTGACACATAAATACCACCAGCTGCTTTATCTGCAGAAGGCACTGGGAGCAGGCAGGAGAGGGAGAAGTTCCTTAAAATAAACTTTCGGGCTTCCCCCTCACCAGCTGCCTGGCTTTCCGGAGCTTTATGGGTGTCAAGTTTGTGGTAGCAATAGCAGCTGCAGGATAGGGTATAGAGAGAGAGAAAATCTTTCCCAGCTTTGGATGTAGGAGGTATGGGGAAGCAAGGATAGAATATTTTTTTCTTTCTCTCCGACCCCAAAGAAAATATTTGGAAAAAATCATTTCATATGGAAGCAGTAATCTCTCCTTGCCCAGTCCTTCCCCCCAGAGGGCCAGCAAAGGCCATGCCACCACCCAACAAGCCTTCCTTCATCAGGCAGCAGTGGACCACCTGGCCTTCCCACGATGGCCTCTGGCCCAGACTGAAGCTTTGCCCACCAAGACTCATGGCTGCCAGTGTTGTCACCACAGGCAGGTGCCTGGGGACAGGGGCAAGTACCCTGGGAGGGCATGTACAGCAACTGTAAATAACCCTCTTCCCTGCCCAGGAACCTAGATTGGACTTATCTCCCTCATGGAGCCACCACTCCTCCTGAGCAGGACAGTTGTGAGGGGCATAGAAGCCTCTGTGCAGACCGCATTCAGACAACTCCAGGGGAACATTTTGTCTGGGGCTCCTAGAAAACCTTATTTATTTGACTTATTTATCTGTTTATTTATTACTTACTTATTTATTTATTTATGTGATACTCTCTCTCTTTCCCACCATCAGCAGTATTTAATTATTTATTTATACAGAGAGGTCATGTGTGTGTGTGTGTGTGTGCGTGTGTGCAGTGTGTATGTGTGTTTGGGGAAGAGGAATGTCTAAATTATCTTTACATATCTCTCTTTTTTTCTTTTGTCTCTATGGATCTGATGGGGGAGGACAGATGTGGGTGGGAATATTCTCCTTTTCCTTCAAGGCTCTAAGTCTAGAACTTTCTGAAGGTGACACAGAAGCACTTGAGTCCCAGTGTACTCAGCCTGACACTGACCAATGGAGTTTAAGCCTGTGCCCCAATCCCTTGCCCACTGCTACTCCACTGACAGATCAGAAATAGAAACAGCCAAGGCGCCTTAGCGAAATCACAGAGTACTTAGTGTGCCTTGGGTTGGGATGGGGGGCATGGTGGATGGAAATTGTTAGTACCTGGATGGAGCACATCTTTCCAGGGCATAGATAAAACAGCAGGATCACCTCTCTCTAAGCACACCTCTACTACAAGTACCTACTGTCTCCCCATCTTTTGAGATTTGAAAGCTACCTGTTTTGTCTGCAGTGGATGCATACTGCCTTGTGAAGAGGCCATCCTGGGAGAAACCCTGGAGCCCAAAGCAAATGGCCTTTTTCTGTGATCTCTTGCTGTTCTGTCAGGGAGGCCATAGAGCTCTTAGAAATGAAACACAGATGGAAGAAACAGCCCCCAAGAAGGTCATTTCTGAGCCCATCCTGGAAACTAGGATCCAGAGACCTTTGTGAGTCCTGCCTCTTTGACCAACTGGCAGTGCCTTCTGGCTGCTGGCTGCAGAGGGCTCTTGCCCTTTCCACAGTTGCTCTCCGTGGCATGGCAACTGTCCGCTTGCCTGGGCTGGCTTTGGACTTGGTGAAAATTTTGCAATGTCCTTAGTTGTTCTATGGCAACATGACTATCCTGCCCTAATCCAAGGAAAGAGGTAACTCTGCCTTGAGGAAGTTTGCTTAGATGCTGCCAGAGCGTCTCTCTCCTCTCTCTCCTCCTCTCTCTCTCTCTCTCTCTCTCATTGTCTTTTTCTTTTTTTCCCACTCAAAACCAGAACTCTTGTTGGGGCGCTAGTAACTTTCATCAGCTAGAACCATCAACCCCACATATTGCTGGTCCTGTGTTCACTTCACCCTCCCTCCTATCTGCTTCCAGGAAATCAGACAGGTCGTTTGGAAGCTGCTCATGGTGAGAATTTGGCTCAAAAACCAACATCCCAAATGGGAGGGCAATGTGGTTGATGTCAAGTCCTTGACCTTCCCACAGTGGATATGCTATAGATAAGAGCAAATCATTCCCTGGATCGGAGTTTCCACCTCTGTGAAGTGGAGGAGTTTTTGACCTGGAAGGGTCACCAAAGACACAGTGAATTTCACTGAGACTCAAAGGGAAAATTTTTTTTAAAAGTGAACATTAAACATTTTTAAAAGGTTCTAAATCATGAGAATAAGAACTAAAAGCAATACTTGAATCCCATCAGTGTATCTGGAAAAACTAACGAACTCCAAACCCACAACCAGGACCATTTCGTTCATCAGGGTTTGACTACATTCCTGTCTCTCTGTTTGTTTCCTTCTTGGGAGGAAACTCACTCTTTCAGAAGCAGTATGAGATGAAGGTGTTAGAAAGTGTCTTGGTCTCAGAGAATCCCAAACCTTCATTTCCTTTTTCCTTAAAAGGTTTGCTTGAGAAGATAAAAATCTGGGGTGCTTCCAAAGGTTGCAAAAAGTTGGGGGGTTTTGTTTGTTGTTTCCTTTCTCAAATCCAACTTCTATCTTTTCTTCTGCTTATCTTTATTTTTCCCCTTTTCTTGGTGCTGGGGATCAAACCCTGGACCTCGTGCATACAAAGTAAGCATTCTACCAACTGAGCTTCACCCCAACCCCCTCTATATTGTTTTCATCCATTCGTTCCCACAAATATTGAAAATAGTCTCGTGCATGTGTCTTGCCTTGCTTTTCCTTTCAGCTGTGTAGAAAATTTGGTCTGACAATAAAAATATCAAAAACAAGATTCCTTAAAACACGACTCCTCCTCGACTAGACAACACAGCACAGAAACTAATGCCAGGTTCAACGTCATTGAATGATGCTTTATCGAGACTTCTTCAGTCTCACTTCTGCACCATGAGCCAATGAGAATGACACTGTTGTTATCATCCCTCTGTCTGTGGCTGGTTTTAGTTTGTATGTTTGGTTTTTTGAATTTGTTTCTTTGGCTTTTTTCCTAATGATTGATTTTCATTGTAAATATCATGATGGGGAACTCTCAACACACATGACTTATTTAATTAATTTATTTCCTATTTATTAAGTGGTGTTGGAAAAGGATGGAGACCACCTCTTCCTCTGAATTGCTATTGGAAATTGGTCCATCTTGCAGCTCCAGGTGTTGCTGTCTGGAGTAGGGCTTTATCACGTAGGTAATGAGTGCAAGAATCACTGGACAAATTGGAATTTGCAGAAATGGAGGCTTCAGTCATACAAATTAAACTCAAATGGAACTAAAACACTGCTTATCTCCGGGAAAACCTCATTTAGATGGAAATTAATTGAGGAGTCAAATGCCTGCACACAAACCAACTTCTATTAAAAAGTTACAACTCCTTGAAAAAAAAGAGAGAGAATTGTAATATCTTTTCTTTAGCCAAGAGAAGTTATGCCTCATCTTCTAAGGAGCTGAACCAAAGAGACTGAAATGGGATTCCTTGTGGTTCTCTTGATTGTGTGTCTGTAGGGGTAAAAAGGAATGGGTCTCTGGCCTCAGTCTTGTCATCTATAAAATGGAGCTGAGCCTCTGTGTTTTTGGAAGGGTTTAGGAAGTGGGTTCTGTTCTGTGGGCTCCCTACTGTTGAATATTGTCCCTGTGTCTTCTGCAGAAAGCTGAAAGGTATCAATCAAGGAAGAAAACAAAAAGGCAGAGTGTGGACCTAATTGGCAGGACAAAGTCAC